GGCCCGACCCGGAGCTTTTCCCCCGGACCCAGGTACCGGGTCGGGTCGGGTGCCGGTTACCCGACCCGGCTGCAGTACACTATTTAGAACGTGCAAATAAACGATGAATTCCAGCAACTTCCATGGATGCTAAAAGAAAACAAATTGGTATTTTAGAAAAAATAAAATGAAACTGTACCGGATGAGCCGACATGATTTATTTCACATTGATGTTTATTTTTTATTTCTGAATATTGTTTTGGATCTGAATATTTAATGCTCAGTAGACCTGTACTAATCGAACATTTTTTTGATAATTGTTCCAAATCTAACACCTACAAAATTCAGATGACGATGTATACGATATATTTTTATTAAATGTGTACTTTTGCAGTAGGTCCATTAGATAAAACTTCTACGACTCCATGTAAACTTGAAAAGCCACGCTTTTGCCATGTACCATCTCCACCAACAGTAATTTTACGTTCATTTGATTTCTTGCAAGCATCTTCGACAGCATTGCTCATTGACCGAAGCTTGTATGATTCAAATGTTGGAAGTAAATAATCGATGGTATCCGAGAAATGATCTTCATCAGTGGGTATTGGTACGTTCGATATAGCACAGAGCTTTATTAAGCCTTGATGACCAATACCGGCAAAATTTGCACCTAAATATTAGATCAAATTATCGATTACTAGAGTGTCGAGGATAAGCTTACCGATTGAACTTCGAACATTAATATCTCTTTTAGAAGTATTTAGACATTGTTTAGATGTATTGATTTTAATTTCATGAGAGCAGCAACATGTAAACACCAAGGAACAATATAATCCTGAAATATTAATGTAATTACTCTGTTTTACTAGAGAGAAATTAGTTCAAAGTCTACCTTCTCGTTTTGCAACAGACATATCACCATTCCATATTGAGTTACAGGAGACACAAATGGCTTGTTTCAGTAATTCCAACAAAAAGGAATTGTGAATTATTTGATAATAGTCGTTTACGTTATTATTATCATGTGTACTTGTTTGTTTGAGAAAATTCGTTAGTTTCTGACATGATGGACCAGTAAATGAACGTGCTTTGTACGTGAATTGCTCGTTGCTGGTTGACTGATCTTTATTAGAAATAAGATAATTTTGCAGTTCATGTGCTTTATTTTTAACACTGTTTACGATTCTTCGTGATTTAGATTTATTTCGAGCCAGTAGGAGCCTTTTCTCTTGTTTCAAAACCGAGTAATGTGGCATTGGAGATACGAAGTAATAAATCTAAAAATCAAGAATTTATAATTCTATGTCAACGAGAGAGTATGAGATGCGTCGGATATAACCCACTGTGTCTTGTTACTAATTATTATCAAAAACATTTAAAATTTACCTCAAGATCGATTATCAACATTTCAATCATGTACAGGAGTGTAAAAATACACATCTTACTGAAGAAATAAGAGAGCAATACCACTTCATGATGGTAGATGGCGTTAGTTGACTTCATTTGGGATCAACTTTGAAAAATCTTAATGCAATTCGTTGGAAATATTTCGTTTGAAAAGTAGTTTGTAAAAGTTCGAATCAAAAATTCACTTCTAAAACTTCTTCAGCGTTTTTCTCAAAACATGGTTTTCAAGCAGAAAAATTGCTATAATTTTCGTTTGGCTTTAGCTTTTCCCGATATTTTTATTTTATTTTAAAGGTCTCAATTAGAGCTAACTTTTTATCAGACAAATTTTCGATATTCGATTCCTGGATTGAGAAAAGTCCGATTTAGTGCGTTTTGTATACCTACTTTGGCAGTCATACGGAGTAAAATGCTTATAAAAAATTAACAGAAGGGAATTTCAAAATTCTGTCTAATAAAAAGTTGCGTATGCAGACTAGCTTTAATTAAAAACCAACCCGACCTCGATAGCTCTCATAGTCATGAAGTTATAACAATTCTCGTGGAAGCCACAAAACAAGTCGTAAGTCCAGTTTAGTAAGGTATACATGGCTGAAATTTTTACCACAAGTGTTTCTCACTGCCACCATGTATCTCTGAAAGTTTCAGCTCAAACCTATGCTCAAAAGTGGCAAGTCGATTCTGAGGGAGGGACTTAATGTTCATAGTTATACTAAAGTCAAAGGAATTCCTCTAGAAACAATACGACTATTAGCTTCAATTGTATTGAAAGAGAACGTGTTCGTCTATGGTAAAAAGATTTATCAACAAGTTCTTGGTGATGCAATGGGTTCATCATTTACATTGACATTAGCAAACATATTCATGTGGAAATGGCAAAAAGAACTTGTCCGTCGACAGGATATGACAGGTGAATATTATGGACGGTAAGTAGAATTAAACTTATAGTAATAAATAATTTTATTTTGAATACTTTTTAATAGGTATATTGATGATGGTTTTATGACATGGAATAAATCGGAAAATAAATTGAAGAAAATAATAGAAAATGCAAATACTTGGCATCCAAATATTAAATTAGAATATAAAATCGGCAAAAGTCTTCCATTTCTTGATATTCTACTTACAAATATCAATGACACTCTATCAACATCTGTGTATCATAAACCAGCAGCAGAACCCTATGTTGTACCTTTTATTTCTGATCATCCTCGACACGTATTCGAAAACATTGTACAAACAAGTCTTCGACGTGCAATCAAATATTCATTTACTATTCTCATCGATTTTTTTCTATAGTTATCCTTCTTCATTTATCGACAAGGCATTACGAAAATTCTTCTCTTGCTACATATCATCTCGATCATTTCTACCATTTCTTGATAATGAGAGGCAATTCTTACAAATGCGTATTGCATTATCTGGACAACCAAGTCGGCATGAGAATTGCAACATTCACGACCGATAATGAACATTTTATTCAAGAATCGGATAGAAAACAAGAAGTCACCATTAAACAGAATAAGAAACCAAACGAATCTCAAAATAAACTTATAATTCATTATACACATGAGGATCGATTCAATACATGTAAGCGCGACATGCATCGTATCTTTCAAGAAACATTTGCAAATACTCAACTAATCGAAACAAAACTAATCGTTGGAAACAGAAATCGAAAAAACACAATGAAAGAATTGATTTAGAAACGTCCAACACAGACAATCTTGAAAAACACAGCTAAAAAAGTACGATAAACGAAAAGAATAAAGCAGTCTTTCAAAAATCATATATTATACATTGGTTTATTGATTTTAGATGACAACCGCGAAAAGAACAGGCATCGCCAACTCAACCCACGAAATCAAACGCATAATAACCAAATATGACACAAACATCATCATCATCATCATCATCTATATCCATACACAATGTCCACTCAACGAACTATTTATGTCATTACTTCCTCTGACATGATTTCGAATACTCAATAAAACAGAAGTGAGAATTGAAAATATTCTATCGAAAAGTAATTCAGAAGTTTTTTTCATCCCAAAATAACATATAAAATTCGACAAAACTATTTTTCATAATATTCATATTTTCACCAAAAAAAAAGAATTCTATAACATACTGAAATTTGACTCTTCCTGAAACAATATTTATAACAATGAATTAAAATTTTCTATTTAGTTTTGAATTTAATTATTTGAAACTTGGATAGATTAAGCAATCTGATGAGATCCTTAAGCAAGATCGAAACCGGTCATAACAGCTACTTTCACACGCACACCCCGCACCCATACCCACCCTCAAGGAATCGAAAGTTGTTAATCAAGAGAATTGCACTGCTTCTGATAAAAGTGAAATATATTCCCATTGACGAAATTATGCTTTTATGACGTCGGTCTTTCGAAAGACACGGGCGAAACATTATCAACATGGGCTTTTCTCTTGCTACTCATGCTTAAAATATGTGTCAACTGTTATCTTTCTTTCTTTTTGTTTCGCAAACTGAAGAGTTAGGCAAGTGTTATATTTTTTTTCTTATTCGCACATTTTGGTAAATATATTGTTATATGAAATAGCAAAATTTCATCAGAGATGAGATAATTCGAAAAACTTTTCCCCAGTCGAATCGGAGTCAGATCAGCCTTCGAAAAATATTTTCAGTAAACGCGCATTTAACTGCGACTGCGATGGACAGGCAGTTAGAATTGGATTTCGGAGTATTCCGTAGGTCTCTACCCATGGGTACCCCTAGTATAGAACCTGGAGACCCAAGATTACTACCTACCACTGAAATTCAGGAGGCAAGGGAATTCTCATATCGTAGGACTTGTGGCCCCAAAGGTACCTCCCTATCGGCATGACCACGCACCGATCACTCTCGCATGGAAAAGGTTTAAACTCACAAAAATAAAAAGCTCTCTGCAAAATCAAAAGTGCACCGCCAACGGTTTACGAAACATGTTGCAAAATCTGAGATACTTTGTCAACCAGAGATATAAACCTTATTTTAATCCAACAGCCAGTCAAAAAGAATTTTCTTGACTAATGTCATTTCGTTATGAAAGTGAAACTGGCATATTCGGATGGTGAAACTGTCTGTTGGCTGCTCTTGGATAGGGGAAAAAAATAAGTTTTTGTCGCGGTAATTGAAAATTTCAAGATGTGAAATTCTTCTCATTAAAAAATCGAAAGAAAGACGAAATTCTGTAACAGAGAGCGTTTACAGGTTTTTGTTTGATGTAATTATATTCTGTTCAGAAATGAACCAATATTCTGAAAGCTTGTAGAAAACTGAACAATTTGTATGCATAGCATTTAGTTGTATGTCACTTCCTTGCGTAGTAAAATACTTGTTTCTCTACTTACTCTAAAAAAATTTCCATTTTTTGAAACTCCGCAATGGTCAGAATTTTTTTAACAGCTCAGCCTTGGATGCATAAAAATCAATAAGATATTTATTGGTAATAGATCTAAATGGTCTCTATGTATCATAAAAATTTCAGGGAATTTGTCTATATCTTTGAAGAGACATAAGTGTTGAAATGTAAAAAATGAAATTACATAACACGTGGCCATGCCGCTCTTATACTACTTGAGGACCCAGAGCCACTCTTAGTATAAACGTAGGGGTCCAATATACCCCCCCCCCAGTATAAGATTTGAGTACTCAAGCATACCTCCTATAATAGTACTTCAGGAGCCAAGGATACGCTCATAAAGTAGGACTTATGGCCTCAAGAACACCAATAATAGCTACTCTGTAACGGTAACTTTCCACTTCTATTTTAGTTAAGTGCCATAAAATTAAATAGCCCACCTTCTTTAAATTTTAAACTCTTCAAAATCTTTTAAAATATTAAAATCTGTTCTTCCCCTTGGTTCATTTTCAAATAAAATACACGAAACACGTCGGCGAAATTAAACTCTGTATTTCTATCTATATTTTGATTAAGCAAAACTTTTGAATTTTGAAAATAATTACGACTCCATCAGTTGCTGAAAAGCAAGAGTAGAGACTAACAGATTGATTTGTATCAAAGAGATATAGATTGATCTGTTTTCTATTTGATTCAAGCCCATACTCACACCCACCCGAACGAGACATATATTTTTTCTTTCTCTATTTTTTCATCAAATCTTGGTATTAGATCAGCTATATTTAGGTTTCTCGGATTTGTTTGTGAATGTCTAAGAATTTCCTGTGTTTCATACGAATATTGGACAATCATCAAAAAGTTTATTTTTACTTATAAATATCTTAAACACAAGCCACTTCATGGGTTTCTCACCTGATGATATATTTAACTAAGTCGAAATATGGATTTTGCTGTATTGATCCTCAAGAGTCTACTAACTCTCGCTCTTCATTTTTTCAACTAGGATCAACCAGCGCAACACGACCGTGTATGAAAAAAATCCTTTTATTATTGTTTCGATGAGACACATTAATCGATTGCGATACTCTATAGTTGACAAAGTTATTCATTATGTACTTTTGTCGCTGTTTTCGTCATGCAAAAGACTCTGCACACAGTATGTGTGACGCACATCAAAGAAGGAAAGAGAAAAATCTTGGATTAGTTCATGCCACATGAGCACTATAAAAGAGTAAGCAAGTATGCAGCCAAAAAATCGGCAAGACATGACGTCATTGTGGGCTAAATTGGTTTACTCTAAGAAAAAATTTCATGTTTCTGAGATAGCTTAGTCTTGCTTTCTTCTCCTGATTTCTTCTTGATCATCTTAAATAGTCGGCATATACATGTATATTCCATATGAAAGAAAACGACTTGCACCTTCTGTTTTTCATCAAGAATGCCAGTCGTGAAAAATTTGTTATTTTATAATCTTCAATATTGTTTCGTAGCTCGAATCAATGGAATCTCCATCAAGACATTCATGCAGTCTCACAATAACAGTTTTCCTGAGCTTTTTATCAGGTATTTATCTTTCGTTCTGTTCTTCCAGTCACATGCTATCACATGTGTGAAGCGTCAATGTGCTATTTGTCTAATAAGTCTTCTCAAAGTTAACGTCCGTTTTGAAAGTATGAGGAGCGGCTATTTCCGGTCTTTTTTTATCGTGCCAGCATAAGTTTCAACGTGTGTTCTATTATTTTCTTTCAGCATTTGTTGCAAAGATTGTAACACTTCTATTACATCTGACTATTGTTAGTCTTAGTTCAGTTTGTTTGTTTTCGAAACCGTATGCTTCTATTATAATTAATTCGTGTAGTTTCAATTATTTTTTTAGATAGACATCACAAGAATTCGATATGGGGAATTCGCATTCAGATGGTCAAGCTGAGCTCTGCTGCTGCGTGCCTGTTACATATGAAGAGATCGATCATGAGACACTTGTGCACGTAAAACGTATACGCTGGAATGGACAATACAATCGTGGGTACTGTACAGAGAACTGTACTAAGATTAATATGACAGCGACGCACACGTATTGGAAAGGCCGACTAGCATCATCACCGGAGCGATTTCCTTACTATGTTCCAAGCAGTTGGTTTCGCCTCAGTGTACAAGTAGATACTACATGCCTTCCAGATTGGGGTCCAAACTGGCATACACTGTACCACGGTACAGATCCGCGAAACATTCATAAGATTATTGAAAACGGATTTCGGGTTCGCGAATGCCAACATGGATTTCCAGCGCTGTACCTATCTCCTAGTATTCAGTATTGTTCGCATCCGAGGTACGCACGTGTAATTTCACACAAAAGTATGTTCTTTCAGTTCGTACTGGAGGTGCGAGTCGACATTAGAAAATTGCAGCCTCTGAAAAAGCGTGAAACGCTCGAGGTTGGCGTAAAAGGTGACATTGATCCAAACTTTCCAAACAATGAAGATCTTGAATTCTTACTTCGAGCGCAGGAAGGAAAATTTATAAAATCTTGCGAAGGTGTAGTTGTAACGGGTGTCATGGTTCGGAAAATAAACTTTGATCCTGCATTGCTGCCATCGAGTTGGTGGTGGTGCAAATGGCGTACTTGGGTGCAAATTCATCATTACTACTACAATAGCACCCCGAAGCTCGAAAAGCACACACAATAGCTTTCCTTGACCCTTTAAGATGATTCTTACTTCACCAGATGCAATACATTCGACACGGCGAGTCTCATTAATGGGTCTCACTCTATTCAAGTTAATTAGAAGAAAAAGCTGTTAGCGCAATCCCTTTGGGATTAAAGCGTGAAACACGATGAGACTTCTTTTCTGAAGTTCGTCTATCACTGTCACTAATGGTATGTGGAGCTTCTCTGTTATGGTCTGTATTATGATGTATGGAATCTCTAGAAACCATCACAGACTGTGACAGAGAATTACGAAACCATCACAGACCGTGGTAGAGACCTCATAAGCAATCACAGACCGTGACAGAGAGCTCATAAGCGATCACAGACCGTGACAGAAAAATTAATTAGCGAATTAATTAATTTCCCTGTCCCAGTCTGTGGGGGGGGATGGGTCTAAATTTCTACCCTATATACTTCAGCACTCCTTTCAGATCGTGTTTCAGAAAAAAGATAAGCAAATACTTTTATTGATAAAACAATAATATTATGCAATTTTGACTAAGGATACCTCATTTCTATATGATTTCAACTAGTTAACTTATATCAGCACATCTAAACTATTTATCATTTTCAATTTTAATACTAAAATGACATAGAGATCGGTGAAACTCAATAGTAACCCATCGATAATGTGCCCGATAAATAAAAATGCTTTACAAACATTTTTACAGTCGCTGCATACAAATAATCACAGAAAACATCAGAGCACAAGCTAAAGTTCATTGAATTTTACTTATATATTGTATATTGGAAGCAAAAGGAGAAACGCTCACGCTCATCAGTGCTCATATGAGCGTGAGTTGTACACCCCTAGGTGTGGGTGTGGGTGTAAGGGTGTGGTTATGGGTATGCGTGTAGTTTGGATTAAGATACAACACCCACGCCCGCACTCATCTTTTATGAGATATTTCTTTGCGCTTCTTTCGCAAAATGGTGCGATAGTGGTAAAAGTCGGTATTGAATAACTTTTCATACAATGTGTATTTGAGCTTAAAATTTTGGGGTTGGCGGCTTTTAACATTGCTCTGTTTAATGAAGAAAGAAAATTTTCTTTTAGAGCTATCGAGTGTCTCATATACCGGAATGATGCTCGGTGAACTCATGGACTCTCTCTTAAGCACAATAGAAATTTGGAATAAATATATAAGATAACAGCAAAAAGTAAACAGTATAGACCGGGTGTTGGCCAGCCTACTGGACAGCACCTGGTCGGCAGCTCGGGCTGGTGCTACTTTTAGCTCAACTGTTATCACTCTGCGCTGTGCATTCTTCAATGTTTTACCTCAGTTTATATTGATTTTCCTATTGGGCTGAAATCTACGTAACACATCCTCTACCATTGTTTCTATGTTTTTCTCTGTTATGAAATCTAAGTGCACTGAAATATTTTCAGTAGACAAAAATTTGTTTATCGATACGCTCCTGTGGAGCGACAAAAGTTAAAATATTGTCATACACACAGTCCAAATATACCACTATTTTTGGAGTGGATATAAATGCTCTTGTGCAGAGAAAGTGTAAGGTTAGTTAATCACTATCCGATTGTTAGTCTTTTAGAACCTGAATTTAACGTTTGATAACAAACTAATAAACAGACGTTTATTATGTAGGAGTATCTGGTATATATAGAGTTACATGGAATAGGAAAGAGCTTGCTAGAAGAAGATAGAGAAGAGAGAACTTACAAGAAGTCATACAGAAAAGAGTTGAATATACTAGAAACGATCACATGACAGTTCAAGC